GCACCGGGCAGAGGCCTCTGCGGGCAACCTGCTTCAGCCTCTGCCCCACCTCACCTTTGAGCTCCGCAGTTTTTTTCTTTTCTATTTCTACTCTGCCTGCTCTTCCATGCTGAGCCCTCTCCCCTCTGGGGCTTTGCTGAGTCCTAGCCCACCTATGCCCTCCGCCCCTCCACACCATGTTGGAGTGGCTCAGCTGACATCTTTTACTTAGCCAGGGAGATCAAACCTCCCCTGACTAGAAGAGATTCCACTGTTGGGTTCCATTTGGAACCGTCGTCTACTGCAGACTCTGACCTGGAGAGTACCTGTGCCCCAGCCTTCCCAGCCTCGAGTCCCACAGCATTCCCAAGTGTGTACTTCGGTCCTGTATTCAGCATATCTCATAGGTGTAGACAGTTCTTCCAAAGTCCTAGGAAGTTTTCAAATGCGAAGCGGTTCTGGTCCTAAGCACTTCCTACAGAGATACTCGCTACTCACCCTGTGTTACCGAGGAGGCTGGGGTTATGCTGATCGCAAGGACTGTCACAATTAAATAACATGAACTAATCTAGAAAATGAGCCTACAGGGTTTATGGCCCAGTGAAATCTTTGGGTTCCCAGCAGGACGGACGCCTGGGCTCCTGCTAGCAGCCCCCAGCCCCGGCCTGTGGGGATCGTGCGGTGTGGCCACACACCATCTCATGCCAAAGTAACCGCTGGCAGAGAAAAGGCTGCCAGCTTCTGGGAGAGAAAGGTACAACCACATTCCAAGCCTGCAAGGCTCCCCTTGTGTGGTGAGGGTTGGGGCGTGACATGGATTCAGCTTTGCTGCTGAGATGCTACTACAGTGCTCACCCTCTGGTGTGAGCCCAAGTACAAATGTGAGGCACACGGGTATGGCCTTACTCCAACACACTCATTTACACAAGCACAGCCTGGCTTGGCCGTGTAAGGTTGTGTAGGCCGCTCCCAGATCCCAGTCTAGCCTGTGACATGTTGGTACAAGTTTCAACGGGGTAATTATTGTTCAGGCAAGAAGCAGCATCTGGTGTTCAAAGGATTCTGAGTTTGGAATAGCACATGTTTGAGCTTTAGTTCTACTTTCTATTTTAGTGACGATCTCTTGAGACAGGACAGAAGCCCAAGTCAGGGCTACATGTTATTATGTTCTTCCTCCAGCATCTTGCTCAGAGAATTATCTTCATATCAGGCTCTCTTGGCTGCATGAAAAGGAGAAACTGTAGCCTCCTTCAGGGAGATAAGAGACTCAGTCCTTTGGTTTGTGTCTGCTAATTGACAGACCTGGTGAGGCCTTGCTCATTTGATGATTGTTAACTTGGTATTGGCTAGAAGCCTGGGACACAGAATTCCTGAATGATGGACAGGCAGAGGAGCGGGAGAAGACAGAATCTCACCGTGGGCGCAAGAGTGGGTTTCGGAGCATTGGAAACACGCGTCTTTGAGGGCCAGGAGAAGCAACTGGGCACCTTTGGAGAAGGGTCCTTCAAAGCAGGAAGGAGCTGATCAGAATTGTCATTAAAACCTGGGCCCTGAACATTTTAGATAGGTCTAGATTCTGAAATCATGGCGCGCAGCTTACTTCTCACTGCCTCCAGGAACAACGGCAGGAACAACTAAGATCAGATCCCCACAGAGACTTCTGCTGTGATGAAAGGCTCCAACTTAGGACAGTCATTGGAAGAATTAAGGCCCAGGTCCGGACAGCAGAGGGGCAGTGGTCAGGGAAAGCCCTCTCCAGCCCTTGGCTTGCCCGGGACCACCCTGGGACCAGTGCTTCATAATTATAGAGACACTCTGTGAGTAATGTAAGATGCACATTCTCTCCACATGATCAAAGGTGCCACTATTTTCAAGGTTACCAGGTATTCAAAAGCAGGGCGCACCGAGTGTGATCTTTCTGTAATAAGCAGAGTCTCGCTCTCTCAAGACCACAGGTCGAGTTGTTTTACTGCATGCAACTGTTCAGACTCAGGAGGCCTCAGCCACCACGGGTGGATTGATGACTCACAGATTTTATTACAGGTGTTTTAAGTAGCACTTGCTGTTCCTTTCATGTCAAATGCAAGATGAAGTCAGGACTTTGCAGTGTGTGGCTTGGAGACAAAGGGAAGAGTCATGAGGTCAGCTTGTAAGTTGGTCCAGGAAAATGCCGCAACGAAGCATACCCACTTCCAGAAGTCACAAGGGAGGAAGAGACGCGGCTGGAGGACCAAAGCCTGTCCACAGGGAACAGAATCCCCATTAGAAAGTGTGGACCCCAGGGCCTGCTGGCAGGGCTGCCACAGCTATTGAGCAGCTGAGCTCTACACTCCACCAATGTATGTCTTTTAATGGGTTCCCAGGAGAACATCTTGGCTGACCAAAGCTAGAGGTGGCATGTATTCTCTAGGGGCCTTATTTTGTCTTCCTGTGTGATGCGCAGAAAGAAATCTGAAGACATCACCAGGGAAACTAAGATAGTTTCAAGTTCCCACCAGACAGCTGGATTTCAGAGGAAAGTAATTGGCATTTGTGAGCAACACTAAGGAAAAGCACAACCTCTGGAAATGTGGAGAATTTGTCAGAGATGCCTGTAATTGCAAGGCCTGTAAAAAGCAGAGGATTCCTTGTTTGTATTGATCAGAAACTACCCAGGGTTGATCAAATGGAGTCAAAGGTCCTGAGCTAAAAGTTCCATTTCCTGTTGAGAAGTGTCTTAGGGACCAGGGTTCACAGGGCAAGGACGGCAGTGAAGGCGGCAGCAATAATTATAGCCAAAAAAAAAATGTTCATGGAAGCCTTGTTTTCCTTACAATTTGATTACTGAAACTACTTCAAAATCGGAAGCTGAATTCTTCTTATGGGAACTATTTTCAAGTATATGTCAAACATATATTGGAAATACATATTTGCAAATATATGTCACACAGAGTTGATGGCAAGTATATGGAAGAGGAAATAGGAAATACACATTACTGAAGAACTCACTGCAAGGGAAGAACAGACAGGCAACCTGAGCTCCGGGCTTGTCGGGAGGAAGCCGTTGGTCATGACAGACGGCCACCGGCGAATTGACCTGTGGCTCTTACCACAGCAGGCCGTGCCCTCGGAGATCTAGGCAGCATGCTGGTGGGTTCTGCTGCCTCGGAGCCTTCTGCTCTACGCCTGCCATGGCCAAACAGAATCAGCATTTGAAGGGAAAAAGATTTCAAGGGTTATGGTCCCCAAATCACCACACCCTGAAAATGAACCGGCTTTGGATAAGTGTTGTGAGCCTTTGTTCAGAGGGAAGTAAATGAGGGATTTTCTTAAACAGTGGAGAGATAGGAACGTGTGTTGAGGAAACCATATCTTTAATCAGTAACTGATCTTGACACGTCTCGTGTCTTTCTTCTACAATCTCTATGTTGAGTCAGAGATGTTTGTAGAGTTGAAGATGGAAATTAGGTGAAATCTCCCACTGAGCAGAGCAGTGACATATCCAGTGACATCACGATCCCCAGATAAAAGAGGAATAGGAAAATGTGGGCCACAAAGGACTCCCAGAGGCTCATTCTTTGTGCCCCACAGTCTTGAAAGGGCTGGGTGGGCGGCAGGGCTGAGTGTAAGCTCCTCCAGGGAGGTACTGAGCACCAGGCCTGACTTGGCCTGGCAAGCAGGGGTGTCCAACAAGAGGTTGAATTCTTAAACAGAACTGATTCGTGTGTTATGTCTGGATGAATTCGTGAGCTGGGGGGAAGGGAGACTGGTCCTGAGTACAGGCAAAAGGGTAGCCCACGGGCATGTGACCCCAACGGGCGTGTGGGCCCCGTGGGTGCATGACCCCCACGGGCCTGCCACAGGCCGGAACCAGCAGGACGGTGATGCCCTGGAAGCAGGGCCAGCCAGGATCCAGCTCTGCACCCGAAATGCTCGTCGGGATGCAGGGCACGGCTGTGGGGGCCGTGGGGAGGGGTGCCGCTTCCCGCTTGAAAGCTGTGTTTGGTTCTGATGACTCACAGAGGCAAGGTGGCACATCACACTTACCCACACCTCCTTTGGGCTCCCAGGTCTCTTTCTGGGTGTATTGGGAGGCGCTCAGGAATGCTCTCTGAGGAAGCAACATCAGAAGAGACCTGCATGAGCAGCACAAACATCTGAGAGAGGAGGCACCCAATGCGGAGATAGCCAAGGCATGTGCCCTGGGAATGCGGGGTGCCGCATGACTCCCAAATCAGGATGGAGCTAGGGCATGAGAACGGGGCTGGGAGCTCTGTCCAGGTCCCACCGAGGCTCCATGCATGCAGGCCTTGCTCGAGGGTCATCGCGATGGACACAGCAAGGCCTGAGGTTTACAGCAGATCCGTAACAAGATTGGCTCCTGCTTGGGCAACACGGCAGAATAGACTCACAAGAGCCACCAGCAGGGAGCGGGACCCGGCGTGGCAGGACAATGGGATAGAGCTGGTGCTGGAGAGTTCGTCAGAGTTGGTCATGGTTAAGATTGCAATCTTCTAGTCTTGTAAGTGTTTTTAACTGTTATCATGAAGGTGATGGACAGAAGGGTCACAGTTACATAAGTTAGGCATTGAGGACCTTTCCTTTTGGACAGTGTCAGCCCTTCCCTCGTGCTCTCCGGTGTTTCCCTCCCGTCCCCACCCACAGGTTGCGTAGCTCACTTTCAACACAGTGTCTCTCAGAGAGGACCACAGCTGCACTTGTTCACCTGTGTCCCTCCGTTTCTGTGCCGCCTTGCCCTCCCAAAGACAGACAAATGAACAATCAAGACAAGGAGGAAAGAAAAACAACAACAAAACCCTCTCATTTCCCAGAGTTCATCGTGTTTCCTTCTGCACGCTCTGCGGCAGGCGCGCACTCAGGCTCCTGTCTGGGAGCTGTGCTCCAGAATGCAGGCTGTGGGCGTGGCGTTGCATGGGAAGGGGCATGTCTGTGCTGGGGTTCAGGGGGAGGCACCCCGACATACACAGCTGACGAAACACGGAGTGGGGGCTGCCTTGTAGGAGTCAAGTGAGAAACAGACAATGTTCATCACACTTGATTTCACTGGGGGACCAGTTCAGTTCATCCACAAGTTTGGCAGTAATAGTCACCCACCGAATGGACTGCTGCAAAGACGGGAAAGGAAAGCAAAAAGCAGAGGCTCCAGCGGGGTGTGCCACGCGACCGCGTCCAGGGCAGGAGACCGCGTCCAGGGCAGGAGACCGCGTCCAGCGCAGGAGACCGTGTGCAGCACAGGAGACCGCGGCCAGCGCAGGAGACCGCGGCCAGCGCAGGAGACCATGTGCAGCACAGGAGACCGCGTCCAGCGCAGGAGACCGCGTCCAGCGCAGGAGACCACGTCCAGCGCAGGAGACTGCGTCCAGCGCAGGAGACCGTGTGCAGCACAGGAGACCGCGTCCAGCGCAGGAGACCGCGGCCAGCGCAGGAGACCGCGGCCAGCGCAGAAGACCACATCCAGCGCAGGAGACCGTGTCCAGCGCAGCACAGGAGACCGCGGCCAGCGCAGGAGACCGCGTCCAGCGCAGAAGACCATGTCCAGCGCAGGAGACCACGTCCAGCGCAGGAGACGGCATCCAGCGCAGGAGACCACGTCCAGCACAGGAGACCGCGTCCAGCGAGGAGACGGCACCCAGCGCAGGAGACCGCGTCCAGCGCAGGAGACGGCATCCAGCGCAGGAGACCGCGTCCAGCGCAGGAGACGGCATCCAGCGCAGGAGACCGCGTCCAGCGCAGGAGACGGCGTCCAGCGCAGGAGACGGCGTCCAGCGCAGGAGACCGCGTCCAGCGCAGGAGACCGCGTCCAGCGCAGGAGACCGCGTCCAGCGCAGGAGACGGCATCCAGCGCAGGAGACCGCATCCAGCGCAGGAGACAGCATCCAGTGCAGGAGACCGTGTGCAGCACAGGAGACTGCGGCCAGCGCAGGAGACCGCGGCCAGTGCAGGAGACCGCGGCCAGCGCAGGAGACGGTGTCCTGTGCAGGAGACGGCGTCCAGCGCAGGAGACCGCATCCAGCACAGGAGACCACGTCCAGCGCAGCACAGGAGACTGCATCCAGCGCAGGAGACCGCGTCCAGCGCAGGAGACCATGTCCAGCGCAGCATAGGAGACCGTGTCCAGCACAGGAGACCACGTCCAGCGCAGGAGACCACGTCCAGCACAGGAGACCACGTCCAGCGCAGGAGACCGTGTCCAGCACAGGAGACCACGTCCAGCGCAGGAGACGGCGTCCAGCGCAGGAGACCACGTCCAGCGCAGGAGACCGCGTCCAGCGCAGGAGACCACGTCCAGCGCAGGAGACCACGTCCAGCGCAGGAGACCGTGTCCAGCGCAGGAGACGGTGTCCAGCGCAGGAGACCGCGTCCAGCGCAGGAGACCGTGTCCAGCGCAGGAGACCGCGTCCAGCGCAGGAGACCGCGTGCAGCACAGGAGACCGCGTCCAGCGCAGGAGACCGCGTCCAGCGCAGGAGACCACGTCCAGCGCAGGAGACCGTGTCCAGCGCAGGAGACGGTGTCCAGCGCAGGAGACCGCGTCCAGCGCAGGAGACCGTGTCCAGTGCAGGAGACGGTGTCCAGCGCAGGAGACCGCGTGCAGCACAGGAGACCGCGTCCAGCGCAGGAGACCACGTCCAGCGCAGGAGACCGCGTCCAGCGCAGGAGACAGCGTCTAGTGCAGGAGACCGCATCCAGCGCAGCGCAGGAGACCGCATCCAGTGCAGCGCAGGAGACCACGTCCAGCGCAGGAGACTGTGTCTAGCGCAGGAGACCGCGTCCAGCGCAGGAGACCGTGTCCAGTGCAGGAGACGGTGTCCAGCGCAGGAGACCACGTCCAGCGCAGGAGACCGCGTCCAGTGCAGGAGACCGCGTCCAGCACAGGAGACCGCATCCAGCGCAGCACAGGAGACCGCGTCCAGCGCAGGAGACCACGTCCAGCACAGGAGACCGCATCCAGCGCAGGAGACCGCATCCAGCGCAGGACACCGCGTCCAGCACAGGATACCGCATCCAGCGCAGCGCAGGAGACCACGTCCAGTGCAGCGCAGGAGACCACGTCCAGCGCAGGAGACCGTGTCCAGCGCAGGAGACCATGTCCAGCGCAGGAGACTGTGTCTAGCGCAGGAGACCGCGTCCAGCGCAGCGCAGGAGACCGCGTCCAGTGCAGGAGACCGTGTCCAGTGCAGGACACCGTGTCCAGTGCAGGAGACCACGTCCAGCGCAGGACAGCGCAGGAGACCACATCCAGTGCAAGAGACCGCGTCCAGCGCAGGAGACCACGTCCAGCGCAGGAGACCGCGTCCAGCGCAGGAGACCGCGTCCAGCGCAGGAGACCACGTCCAGCGCAGGAGACCGTGTCCAGCACAGGAGACCGTGTCCAGCGCAGGAGATGGTGTCCAGCGCAGGAGACCGTGTCCAGCACAGGAGACCGCGTCCAGTGCAGCGCAGGAGACCACGTCTAGCGGAGGAGATGGTGTCCAGCGCAGGAGACCGTGTCCAGCACAGGAGACCGCGTCCAGTGCAGCGCAGGAGACCACGTCCAGCGCAGGAGACCGCGTCCAGCGCAGCACAGGAGACCACGTCCAGCGCAGAAGACCGTGTCCAGCGCAGGAGACCGCATCCAGCGCAGCACAGGAGACCGTGTCCAGCGCAGCGCAGGAGACCGTGTCCAGCACAGGAGACCACGTCCAGCGCAGGAGACCACGTCCAGCACAGGAGACGGCGTCCAGTGCAGGAGACCGCGTCCAGCACAGGAGACCGCGTCCAGCGCAGGAGACCACGTCCAGCACAGGAGACCGCGTCCAGTGCAGGAGACCGCGTCCAGCACAGGAGACCGTGTCCAGCGCAGGAGACCGTGTCCAGCACAGGAGACGGCATCCAGCGCAGGAGACCGCGTCCAGCGCAGGAAACCGCGCAGCTGGTAGAAGCTGCACTGGGCGAGGAGGCCTTCTCCCTTCACAGGAAGGGTCTGAGGGTGTTAGTAGAAGGAAATTCTTCGTCAGGGGAAGTAACATAATCCCTACTGTATCACAGTGTGAGGGCTATTCAGTGGAGGAGAGAAATTGAAAACCATACAGAAGCAAGCCCGACTGGCATTCACAGTTAAAAGTCAAAGATCACAGAAAGGCCATCTGTCCTCCTGGGGCCCACAGCAGGGCGGGGGAGCTTGGTTTCTATTGGGGTGCTGGATCACAGTGTTCCACCTTTCTGATTCAATTTCTTGAGTAGTCTTTCTCCAGGTGGGTTCCTTGGATCCATTAGAACCCTCTGTTTAAAACTTACCTCACAAGGGGGAGGAAAGAAATGATTGAAGAGCTCTACTGTTGCTTCTGAAGTTGAAAAATACTGTTTCATCTGGCTGTTGGGTTTTTCCAACATCTCACATTGTTATATCAAATAATTCACATTCTTTGCAGGATAGACTATATAGTACTTCAGAAAAAAAAGCCTGATTAAAGGGATACAGCCCACATTTTCTCTCCCACTGTTAATCAGTTCTTCCCTACAATATATCTATAATGAGTTTCTATTTATAGTAATCCATCGTTCTCATTTTCTCTACAAAGCTTATTGGTTTTCCCTGTCAATTATCCTACATTAGTACATATATTCTGAATTCCAAGCAGAAAGAAGTGTTAGTTGTTAGTCAGCAATGGATATAGAGACACACAGTTCAAGTTTTGATTCTTCTACTTAATATTAGAAGCAAATTATGGCATTTTCTCTTGCTTCAACTCGCTCAATTAAGATGGGGCTAATAACACTTACTTAGTATTAGGGGAAAATCAAATTGTCATATGATCATTCCTATTTATTTATTTGCCAATCCTGGGACTTGAACTCAAGGCCTGAGCACTATTCCTGAGCTGCTTTTGCTCAAGCACTCTACCACTTGAACCTTAGCACCACTTCTGGCTTTTCCTGTTTATGTGGTACTAAGGAATCAAATCCAGGGCTTCATGCATGCTAAGCAAACACTCTACCACTGAGCCACCTTCCCAGCTCATGACTGATCCTAAAGGTTAGATTTCTTTCTTTCTGGTAAGAGCCTGGCACCTGTAAAGTTAGGTATGACTTGAAAGGGCTGAGGGGTCACCCCTAAATGGAGGAAGTCAGTGAACTTCACACCTCAACTGAATATTAAAACACAAACTAGCCGGCACCCGTGGCTCACGCCTATAATCCTAGCTACTCAGGAGGCTGGGATCTGAGGATTGCAGTTGAAAGCCAGCCTAGGCAGGAAAGTCCATGAGACTCTGATCTCCAAAAAACCACTCAGAAAACCAGAAGTGGTGCTATGGTTCAAGTGATAGCCTTAAGCTGAAGAGCTGAGGGACAGTGCCCAGGCCAGAGTTCAAGGCCCTTGACCTACCCAAAAAACAACCCCCCCCCCCCCCAAACTCAACTCTCTAAGGACAATAAGTTACATAATGAAAATTTTCACTTAAGAAGACTAAGACTTAGCTGGGTACTGGTGGCTCACACCTGTAATCCTAGCTACTCAGGAGGCTGAGATCTGAGGATCGAGGTTCAAAGCCAGCCCAGTCAGGAAAGTCCATGAGACTCTTATCTCCAATAAACCACTAGAAAACTGGAAGTGGTACTGTGGTTCAAGTGGTAGAGTGCTCGCCTTGAGCTGAAGAATGCAGGGACAGTGTCCAAGCCCAGAGTTCAACACTCAGGACCGACCAAAATAAAAAAGAAGATTAAGACTTGAAGTCATAGAGAATAAGATTCGGCAGGAGGTCTGGTGAGAAGAGGCATTTGCCAAATGCATAAAACGAACGTGTTTGTTTAACATGCATGGAGCACAGCGCAGAACTACTTCTAGAAACGAGTTTGTAGGCCAAAACCTCTCCAGAGACTTTTGAAAAAGATTTTCCTTCCTATGGAATAAACACTTAGCCCTGAATGAAGTCCATCTCCTGTAAGACAGACAGCAAGGTCTTATTGGCAAGCCAGGGATTTTATAAAATTAAATAACAATGTATCCTTTGTTTTATTTGTTTTTTTGCGGGCCTGCGGATCAAACCCAGGTCTCCACCAAGGCCTAGCAAGTTCTCTGCCACGCATCCCCATTCCCTAGCCATAATTAATTTGGTTTTCGGTTTACTTGCCACAGAGCATTTGCAGCGAAGGGTTTCATTTTGAAGATGAGAAATGAGGCAGGAAGCGTCTTGCCACGCATTATGGGTGAGACGAAGGCTCTGTCCCTGAAACAGAGAAGAAGAGACCCACGGGGAAGACAGTCACAGGCTCCGGGTTGTGATCTGCGTATCTGTGTTCTCAGGCTGACCAAAGTGGCCATCTCCTGAGAGACAGGGGTCTAGAAGCAGGCCGGAAGCTTAGTTTATGTTCCCTTTATTTTTCTAAATGAAATTAGTTGTTTGCTGTTTGTCCTCACTTTTCAGAGTCCCTGAGGAAGTCTTTATTTGGGGCTTTCCTATTGGATTAACACCTTTCTTTCGAGCTCCAATAAAACAGTTCCTGCTCTTCCCTACTTAAACAAAAGCTTCAGCAATTGGGAGCATTCTTATGATTCAATAAAGTACTTGGACTAATTTTCCATTTCCCATCAGGATCCAAACACTTCTCTCAGGATATAAAATAGTTTAAAGCTTTGATACCAAAGTTCTTCATGCCATAAATACAAAATAACTTTCCTCGAGGCAGTAGATACTTTTCATGAAGGTGTTGCCACTGATCATTGACAACAGAAAACCTTCAAAGACAGGTGCATTGTCTTTTAAGAAATAAGAGAGCTTGGTAAAAATCCATTATAAAACACAACAAACAAACAAAAGACCCTCCATTGTTAAAAGAGAACTACTGTAAGTACCAAAATTCCTTTGTGAAAAACCTGGCAAAACATTTCTAATGTGCTAGTTTGTGTTTTGGGAAGGAGATTTTGGTCAGAGGAGCTCAATTAATATGAAGAAATTCAAAGATAGGCACAGAGGGCCACTCTATAATCCCACCCCCACTAGCAGTGAAGGAAAGCAGATTAATGTCTGGACAAAAGCGAGACAACTATTTGAAAATTAGGAAGAGAAAATTTCTGTGGGTAGACCAGCTATATAAATGGTAGGGCTCATTACAAAATAAAACATGAGGTTTGTTGCCCCTAAGGAAAGGAAACATTGTGTGCAAGGTATTTCTTCAAACAGAATTTATTTTGGTGAAAATCTTTTATTACTTATTAGCAAAATAGGGCTGACAATGACATATGAATATCAGTATGAATTTGCAAATGGTAAGAAATGGATTTTTATCAGAATTTTATATGATGAAAACATAACTTTATTAATGTGATATCTATATTGAATACATTATTCTTTCTGCTGTATTTTATGCAAATTAATTTATTAAATCATTGAAACTTACACTTTAATTGACTTGAAGGGATGTTAGTTGCCTTAGGAAAAATGTAAGGTCGCAAATAGATTTTGATTTTAAAAATAAATTTAGCTGCAATTGTTCCTGTGGCTGTCGGTAAAACATTTCATAAGCTTTGAAAACACTAGAATAAATGTGAGAAATCATTCCAAAATAAAATAAAAAAAATTTAGTGTTCTTAGAGATGTTTATCATTATCTAACGCCTTTTCTAAAAAGACTCAATGCTTAATGTGTGATAGCTCTGTGTGAATCTTAACATAGTTTTACGTTTTACTTTAGTGGCTCTTCTGACCCACCCCTGTAATTTGTGTACTTGATAAATGAAAGGGTTTTCATGACTTGTGCATAACTCAGGAAGCATATTTGTGCATTTTCCCCTTATAACTTCAATTACAAGGAAGAAACCCTGATGAGTAAAGTTTATCTACCTGAAGTTTCATAAGAAGATAATGTTCTTTGCTGTGAAGGCTTTTGACCCCCAACTCCTCTTTCTACAACAGTGTTTGTAAATCTATGTGAGTAGATGCCTACCTTGCAATATTTTACTAATTTCTAAAGCCAGAGATGCTGAGCTCATTAAAGAATCTCGTACGGTCTGCTGTTGGGCACCATAGTGATGGACACACTCACACTTCAATGTTGAAATAATTTACTGACAGATTTTCAGGTGGACACAGGCAGTTCCTGTCCCAGAGCTCAGACTGGTCAGCCAAGTTGCCTCTGCAGGCCCAAGCTCTCCACCCAGAGATCCCGGCACTCCTACCCAGATCTCTGAGTCTTCCCCGATCACCAACCTGGGCCAGGCCCTGGCCTCCACCCTTCAGCACCCTTCAGCTCCCAAGGGAGCACCTGTGGGCCAGGCCAGTACTCAACAGGTATGGCTGGTTGTCTGTGGGGGCGGGCACTGTGGCCTGTGCAGACAAGGCAGGAATGCAGCTACCTGCATGCTGTGCATGTTCCACGTTTCCTCAGACTCTGCCCGCACATTCCAAGTTCAAAGAAAAGATTAGTTCATGAGGAGGCAGCAGGGTTTTAAGCCAAGCATTGGCCAAACCACTTCACTGATTACACCTACAAAGCCAGCTGTCTCTGTGGGCAAAATTACCTGAAAGTATGCAGTAATCTCACCTGTAGAAGCATATTCCTTGGTATGCCGACAGGACCAGTGGAGATAATAGGTCTGTGGAGGGCTTATGAGAGGAGTAGTATGAAGGAGCAGGAGGAGAACAACCCAAGCAAAAGGATTACGCTTAGGCCCATGGCCCAAATTTGCTGTTACGTGGGGTTTTCCCCCATATACCACGATCATAATGCATTATCGAAACCTTCCTCCTGATCTTTCTTTGAAAGAGAAAAAAAAAATAGGTATTTGTCATGCAGTCTGAGCCCAGAATCTTCAAAGAAAATCAGCCTCGCCCCCTCCATGAACAATGACCACTCATAGCTCCCTTCCCTTCCTTTCTGTGACTAGACTTCGTAGTGGAAATGGAATTCAATTCCATGTCTACAGACGTATCTTTCCTTTTTCTGTCATATGTGTGGATTGTGTGTTATTTATTTAGTTGATGGCAGTTCAAGTAGTGACACCACTGGGGACAAAAACCAGTGACTCTCCAGAAGGAGGACAAGGGGGCCACAGGCCCTGGCACACACAGCGGGAGCCATCAG